TTGTGTCCTGCCACTGCCTGAACCTCAGGGTTTTATTATCTAATATTAATTAACTAACAATATATTAGCTAAGACAGCCCATCCCAGAGTTTGCTCAAGTCAAGAGTCAGAGCAACCCCCCGGCCCCCCCCTTTTTTTTCCGTCAGTCCTCTGCTGTTAAATACTGAATTGTTTTGGCTTTCTCAAAATACCACATAGACAGAAAATTCCAGTGGAAAGGTATTCATGCCCCGTGTTGTTTACTTACTATGGTACAAAATTTCCTCATAAATCAGTGAATTTATGGCAGCAGGTTTACATTCCGCGTTTAAATCTCCAGTGACTTCTGTGTTTGGTCCTTGGCTGGCATAACTCTGAATCTTTATAACTGAACACCTAAGTTGTTTTTTGCTTTTACTCTCTGGATACCCATATAATGACGTTTGAAAGCTGGCTGTAGTCCCTGCCCTATTAGAGAGTATTTGAATGTTAAGGTCAGCGCTCAGGGTATGTGGCAAGTTTTTCTTCTGGTAGTCATTATTTTAGTTACAGTCCGGACATTGTGTTGGTAAATGAGGCATTCTCTTTGTGTACGGATGCATGTGGTTGCCTTTCAGGAGGTGAATGATTTTACTGAGTCTTTGAAAAATAACAGATTTGTTCAAATGAAGTACATTTTTTTTGCTCCTGGTACGGCCTGAATATTAAAGTGGGGTAAAGGACTGTGATCTTTTTACTCACACTGACAATCAGTTACTAACATGGGAGTCAGTGGATCTATTTGTGGAGGCGACTGCTTGCCAGCATGAATAAGGGGATCAAAATCTGGTCCAAAATTACTGCCATCTGATACTATTGCAATTGGGAGAACATATTTAAAACAGCCTGTGTCCAGGACACATTTTTTGTTGTGATGTTCTCGTGGGGTAGCAACAATTCCAGTTACTGCTCTGAAAGACAAGTGCTATGGCCAAACTGGCTGGAGAAACACAGGCTCATTGTGCACTTCTGTTGTGGTTTTGAGATGTTTGGTTCCTTTGCTCTTCCTTCTTTACTTCTCAAAATAACACTGCTTGTGCTGCATAACAGGTTTGGGGTTTTATCAACACTAAAAGCAAAGCATTCAGGGCTCTATTCAATGTAAAACCATTTATGTGGGCATTTCTCCAGAAAATGAAAACACAGTATGTATTTCTGTCTGAATTTTTTTCAGCAATTTGAAGGAAGTTAAAATCTACCCCTCCAAAAAGATAACATTTGTAAAAATGTGTTTAACTATTGCACAGTAAAAATTTCTATGTAAAAATCCACTCATGGCATACTCTCTGGTGTAAAGAGGTATGTTGTCTGCTGCCTTCATACAGCTCAGGAGAAGAGCGCTGCTCAATAAGGCAATGGGGCATAACTCAGGAGAAACAGGAATGTCTGAATGCAAGTTGAGATGAAAGCAGCCGGTGTAGATGAAATACACTCATTGCATCTCTGTGCACATTGAATCCTGTAACCATTTTGACCTCAAACCAACATGGAATAACAATGATTGTGCAGAGCAAGTAAATAATTATCCTTCTGCTTGTCCAGCAAGAGCTTTTAAAGCACAAGATGGCTGAGTCAGTTGCCAGACACTGTTGAGGAAGGAATTTTCAGTGCCAGAAAAAACAAGGCAATTTGTGGATTTAGTTTTATTCCCTGCTGTCTGTGCTCTCTGTCCTTCAATTTTATTGATGACTGGAATTTCTCACTTGAACCAGTCGGATTCTGTGCTGTTGCTTTTGTGTGCAGTAGCATTGGTCAGTGCAGTACACGTCGTACCGTATCTTACAGTAAAGCTGAGAGGCTCGTTCAAACAAAGATGATGCAAGTTGATCTGTTTCTGAAGAGACGTGAAACCATGGAGACCATGGAAACTGCTCAGCTCTGCCGCATCCTTGCTCAGCAGCTGCTGTGGGAGCCTGGCAGCGCCTGCTGCCCGGGCAGGGGAAGGAGCCCAGGTCCCTGTGCAGCCCCGCTGGCCCCAGCGGCTGCCGGCATTGGGGGAGAAGAGCACTGCTGACTTCTGGGGCACCTGGGAGCACGCCTGGGAGGCAAAATGTGTGTCATGCTGGAAGATGGTACTGGAAACCGCAAATCCTAGTGGATGATTTGCATACCTGGCTCTTTGTTGCCCCTCCTGTGCCACACTGTGGCCCAGCAGACCTCTCTGTGAGACAGTGGGGAGTGGAAGCATTAATATTCCTAGCGCCTCACCTGAGAATGGTGCCTACCCAATCTTCTGGCCTTAGCTAGAGGGGAATTGTTGTTATTAAGTGCAAAGGTTTCGTACTGCGAAAGGAGAGCTTTCCTTACTGTATCCGAGTGTGATACTGTAGGGACTGACTGTTTCGCCACCCGTCCCGCCTATCAGTGCTGGGTGGCAGCTGTCATTAAGAACTTCAGCAGAAGGCATGGTTTGATTGACTGTGATCATTTGTAGTTGTTTTAATGGGTGTCTGCACTTCCCTCTGAAGGGAAACAAACAGCAGTGAACCCCTCCAAGCCACGTCTCCAAAGCATCTATAAGTATAATCACCTTGGCTCTTGAACAGGAGAGAGGTCAATGGAAGGGCGGTGCTCTGGACGAGCAGTGCACTGTTACACCCTTTGGGGGGAGTCAGGGCTCAGGCAGTTCCTGTAAGCCATCGTTACATGCGCGAGCATTTTCTAATGACCCCGATCATGTGTCGTTAGTCAGGATGTACCAGGACCTCCCACACGGAAAGTGCAGGTTTCCATTACTTACTTTTTGCAAACCCCTTGTCGTAGGAGAGAAGAACCACACTGAACAAATAGAGCCCATAGTTCAGAGGTGGAGCAAGCAGATTGGGATCCCAGACTGCTCAGTGGGCACTTGTACGCTCTCCTCCTCTCAGACAGAGAAGCACAGTCCACCATAGCCATGGCTGCACACACAGCAGCTGTGATGGGCCGGAGGGGAGAGAGCTTAGGCAGCAAACTGCTAGTGCAGGGATGTTAAAATGTCTTTCATATTCTCCTCTGGACCCTGTGTAAAATGAAAATTCTGTCATCCCCAGTGGATTTAACCTGTACACCAACCCCCTTATTCCTTGATGTTAATTTTTTTTCCTGGCTGATCACACGAAATACGGTACTAATTCTTTCACACTGCTTGTGTGTTGTGTTTCTTTCCGTCCATCAAGGAGTGGGTGGACAAGCATTCACGCTCTGAATTCTTTACAAAGGAGAGGGGATGTCTTGCCCAGGGTTAAGTAGTCGTGTAGCTTGCATGTCTTCATGTTGTTGAACAAAAGTAGTTTGTCCCTGTGCCTGTGGGTGAGTTTTGCTCTCTCTGTTTAACATGAAGAAACCGAGAACTTGCCGTGAGCATGTGAGGACAGGCTGATCCTGTTCCCACCAATGCCAGTGGAACCAAGAGCTGACCCTGACTCAGTCATGAAGTGAGAGTTTCTTCCTTGTCTGTCATCACCTCACGGTGAACTCCAAGCCACACTGTCTCCTTTTCAGAAGCAACATTCAGACACCTTAGCTATGAAAACTGTTCATCTTTCTTCCTCCTTTCTAAGTGTTCCTTTGTTGGAGCAAGAGGGTGTTCTCCCCACAAGGCGTTCAGGAATATGGCATGAAGCGCATCAGTCATTTCGTGTAGTGGAAAAAGGTGCAATTTGGTTGTGTGTGAAGTATACTGCACGATCTGTAATTAAATGATTGGGGAACAAAAGCCAGCCCACATACATGACTCGAGCTGCTTATTTGAATAAAGCCCTCAATGTTTACTTTCAAGCTGTATTCTTTAATACCTTGTAGCGGAATGATTAGCTGATGTAATGTAAGCGGTTTTCTCCAGAAAAAAAATTCTGTTCAGACAGACCAGGTGCTTGCTTGTACCTGTGATTTTGAAGTGTGGGAATACAGCATTAATTATATCAAGTGTGTTGCAGCATGCTCATTCTTACATTAAATGTGCTTTTTTTTTTTCTCTTTCAGACTTAACCAACACAATGACTGCTGAATATTAAGGGAAAACACAAGAAGGTTCCATGTTTGGTTGTCTAATATTCTTGGATTTGATATGAGTCACCACATCTGTTCATTAGTATCATCAACAGCATCCCAGTTTGTATGCACATTATTCACATTCCTATCTGTTGTGTTTGCAGAAATGACATTTTACCCTTTTTTCTAAGGGTTACTTTTTGATTTCCATATTATTTGGTTGCATGAAGTTGCCCTTTACCAGTGGCTGAGGTTTATGAAGACACTGCATACTTGAACATGTTTTAGATTCCTTTTCTAGATAGAAAAGGTGTAACTCCAAATTGTATCATTCTAAATCAGCATTTTTTTAAAAGCAAGTAAATCTCAGAAGTGAGTCCCCTCCATACAATAATACAGTATCTTCCACGTACAAACATGATTTTAAATTTCCCTGTATCCATACTTTCCTGATTTTTGATCAGTTTACAACATAAAAGAAAAATTCTTCTTCAGTTGAGATCACCGCCAAGTTCAATAATGTAATAAAATACCTTTCCTTATTAGAAGTACCTAGCTAGTTATACTCTTAATACTTCTCCAAATCATGATGTAATGTACACTATCTGACTTAGTTCCTATATGTGGAGTTAGTGAAAGTCTTTTTGTGTTTCTTTAGATTAATACAAGGATTTTTTCCAATGCCAACACGATTTGAAGTCATTCATTTGGATGCTTTCCATTTTTAAGCTTACTGTGATATAGAACCCTATGGGAAACCAAAAGAAAACATCGATTTTAAATACTGAAAGGCTTAAAAAAGGATGCTGTCATTCTGGCTTTTTTTTCCTTTTGGAAATAGAACTAGACTAGTAAGTAAGCATTCCAAATCCATTATTCTGTGTACATTATTGTTGCTATTGTGATAATAGAGATTTTTATTTATTTTTATGCCAGCTTTTATTGTGAAAACATATTTAGTCTGGTTTTATCAATCCCTGTTATGCTTGTCCTTGGAACATCTTTTGCGTATTCAAGGTTTGTAGTTGACGAGTTTACTGTAAAAAACTAAAAAAAAACCACAACAAAAAAACAAAAAACAAAACAAAAAGAAAACAAAAAAATGTATTGTTTTTACAGAATAAATTTATTGGAATGTGTATTGGGAGTAAGGTTTGAGGTTGTAAGCAACTAAGTTAGCGTCATATTTGGCTTCATACGTGTAATAATGTGAGGTATTAATGTAAGTCAAGTATTAAAGCAAAACATTCTGTTAACATGAGTTGACCATAATAGATACAAGTGCAGGTGAGATCTTTATTTTTTCTGTACTTTGCCTTTTCTGGATAACAGGAGGTTATTAAATTCACCTTGAATGTATTCAAAGTTTCTTTAAAAACGTGAGAAGTAACATCGGAGGCTCAAATGCCTCTTTGGAGCCAGCGTGTCCTACTGCAGCCCAGCAGCTCTGGGTTTGTTCTCTTGGGAGGACGTACAGGGATGGACCCATCCCGAGTTGTAGCATACGTGGACGAGCCCACGCCGGGGAGGCTGGGCGCTGGAGCAGGTTACTGCCAGGTTCCTTTTGGCCAAGGAGCGTGGCCTGAGATGCGTGGTGGTTATCTCGGGCCTGCCCCTTTGGCTGGAGGTGCAAAACCGTGGGTTCTCCCTCCGAGCGCTGCTGTGAACCTCAGTGTTCAACGGGAGAGTGCTACAGCATGAATTTCTGGCGGCCCAGAAAGGCCCCTTGTGCAGGGTGCAACGCGCATGCGCATGAGCTGATGCTTTCTTGTTGCTGATTAGGTTTAAAAAGAAAATTAAAATTCTCTAAATCCAAACAGCCAAAAGTGAACATCCCAAAATGAAGTGTTTCCAGTTAAAATGTATCAGCTAATTTCATCAGTGAGAAAGGCATCGAATGTGCTGCTTTTACCATAAATGCACAGAGGAGTCTTAGAAATAGTTGGAATTGCAAACAGAAACGTCAACTACACAGGGCAAGGATGCTGTATTTGCTGCTGCTTCTTTATGGCCCACCAGCATTAGCAAAAGTAGCTGCAGAGATGAACACGGCCCCAGCCCCCTCCTCTCTGAAAATGCCTGCGTTGGTGCAAGGCTGATTGCTCCAGCACTGAACCCTCCCTGCCCAGCTCAGGCGGGCTAGGAAGCATGTGCTTAACTTCAAGCAGACGAGCAGTCCTTGCAGCAGCGGGTCCTTAAAAGAATTAACAAAACTCTATGATTTGCTCATCAGATATGGAGTCTTACCGTGAGAGCTGATGGCTTCTTAAAACATGTCTTGGGATTTTTAAGAGGGCTGCCCCACGAGACATGCTTTTTGACCAGTAAAACATGTGCATGTGACAGAGGTATGTATGTTAATTTTTCACACTTCAAAATACTGACCTTCGCATTCTACAGTAGCTCTGTGTAGGGATTGCTAGCGCTGATACGCTTCACTGTGCGGAGGCTAAACACTGACATCATTATTATTATTTAACTTCATGCAGTATTTCTAAAACTGTCAAAGCAGCTTTACTTAAAAATAGCCATGGGAACTAGCAACTCCACTGCAGCGCAAAGTCAAAATGTTGAGAAGTGGTACTGAAGGCAGTCGTCTTTATTTTCCCTTTTTGAGTAGGATAAACAAAACAGACCGTGCAACTTTCCACAATTGCGCAGTGTCACACATCTTACACGCTTCGCTTGGGTTCCGCTTGAGCAGTTCAATGACATCCCAGCCCAATTATATATACAGCCAAAAAGAGGAGCGGCAAACAGTTGTGCTACTCCGTTTTTTCTTCTTGTTTTGTTTTCATAAAAAACTCTGGCTTGTTGACGCACCTGTAAGCGAACAGCTGGGGAAGGATCCCGTACATTATGTTCAATATCAGAAAAAACTGTTTTGCTTCTTCAGGGACTCTGTAGATGTAAGGAGTTCGAGCATGAAGAGAAGCACCGATATGGGAAAATTGAGCCTGTGGTGTGTATATAACGTACATATTAAAAAAAGGTAAAGTTGATGTATATTTTGGAAAGACAGCGTAATCTGCATGCATGTGGGCATCTCCAGTGACATTTTCAAAGCCAGCCCTTTTGTTCCAGAATTATCCATCACACTTTTGCATAGCGGTATAAAAATACAGTCTAAACTAAGGTCATTAATACCTTGGTGTAAGAGGCATAAGAGGAGGAACTGTCGGTACCATGGCAGGAGGTTTATTTTATGCACATGGTGGCACTGATCTTTACATGGGGTATAGGATTTCACCCTTGGCTTATAGGTGGTTATTCACGCAAGAGGGTCCGCGATCCTTCCCCAGGCAAACGGCCGCGGGGACGTGCATCACCGTAGAGACCCGCACGCCTCAGCCTCGGCCTCAGCCCAGCGGCGGGGGTCGGACTCGCACCCTCCCACCCTGGCGCGCCGTCTTTGGCACCAAGGGGAAGCAGCCGGCCACTCGCTCTGAATAAAGTTAGAAAATAAACTCTTGGAAGCTCTGTTAGTTCTGGGTTTGGTTGGTTGGTTTGTTTGCTTTCTAAATCTTAAACCCAGTCTTCCAGATTCTGATCTGACCCCAGAACTCCTGATGATTTCAGAATACGTCTGCAATATTTGGCTTTTGGGCTGGGGGCGGTTCTGAAGTATAGGTTAAGTTTACAGTGAAGGTTATACGCAAAGACAGGCTTGCTGGGCTGAAGCGTATTTTTAGCATAAACAAACATTTAAAGATAGAAGCGTCAGGATAGTCGCTGTCTTTTGTCTCCATCTGTTACCTGCTATTTCAAGCCACAGCTTGTTCACATTAACTATTGTGTGTCCAATTTTTTTATTATTATTTAGTTAGTCCACAGTGGAGGAGATCTGAGAAGATAAATGTCAATTTGATCTTAGGCAGAGCAGGAGAAAGGGACACCAGGATTTTAGTAACGCAGAGGAGTATGCTGTGGCCAAATCACGTCCTCTGTTCTGGCTTCAGCCGGAGTTATTTTGGACTCACAAAGAACACAGTTCTGTTCACGGTTAGCGAGGTAGAAAATGAAATACAGTGCAGGTGCCTTAACACACACCCCTCCAGCAAAAGGTTAGGCTGAGACCATACATCAAAACAGAAACCAGTTTTCAGGTGATTCTAACACCGCCTCCACTTAACAGGGAGAGCTGATTTAGCAAACCTGAGTCAGGAAACGCAGCAATCACAGAAATCAAACACAAACACACTTCAGCAGAGTGCCACTTAGCTTGTTTCTGTAAATACCCATTACACAGTAAACAGATGTGCAGGGGCACGCTATCAGCAGCCTTTTTCCATCAGCCTCTTAAGGCAGGCTGCCTCTCGCAGCCTGTTTGCTCCCCCCTCTCTCGGGCAGGCTCTGCCTTTGGCACCTGGGTGGTCTTGCTCGGGTCCCTGCTACCTTTCCTCCCCTCGGGAGCCATCTCAGCCCAGGCAACCACAGCACTGGTGCTCAGCAGCAGAGACCCCTTGTTACATGAAGCAGATAGCCAGCCCCCATCGGGCTTCGGGTAGGAGTTTGGGGCTGGCTAATGGTTGCCTAGGCATAGACAGCCTCCTGGTCGTGTTTAGAGCCTCTCCTGGGGTGAACGAGATGCTAAGCTATGTACTTCTCTGTGGAGGGTTGCAAGGCGTGCCTGTCTCCAAGAGTGGCCAGCTGTGCATCATAGTAAGTTGATAGTAAATTCATAATAAGCTCATAGTAAGCCTTGTCAGAAAGAGCTGTAAGGGACTGCCTCTGAGAGACCCAGAGCTCTCGCAGCCTCCTAGATGCCTTTGAAGATCTAAGCCTTGTTGTGTGGCCTTGTCTCTTAAAAGAGTTGTGGCAATTAGTGAGCTTTGAGTGTTACAAAAAGAAAAAGCAGAAACATTTTGTTCTATCTGTACCCCATGCAGATTTTTACTAGCTAATGATGCACCATATAATGAAGTTATTGTTTATTAGACTTGCTTTTCAATAGAACACATTGCTTTTTCCTTTCATTACCAGGAAGGATATTTAGGTCTGCTAAAGTCACTCTTTTTTAACTTGATTTGCCCCTGTGGAAATTGTGTTATGTCTTTAATCTCACATGTTTCCTTTCTGTGACCATACTCTGCTTCTGCTTTGCTTTTCTTTCTCTTTTTTTGCCCACCGTGCGTCTTAAAAGCAGACCTCTCACTCACCAGTAGCCCAGTCCTGCTCTTCTTTCAAGTACCAGGCAGACTTGCACCAAATCCGTAATTTTAAGCAGCAAGACCAGAGCTGTTAGGCACTGCCCACCACTGTGCCCGTTGTGCAATATGGCGTTGCGGTAAGCGAGAGCAACCTTGAGTCTGTTGTGTTACCTCGCTGTGACCAGGTCTGCTCAGCGAATAAAGCCATTCCTTGGGGCTTCCTGCTACTGAACTCTTTAAGTGGAGAATTTTGAGGCTCAAACCCCTAAACCTTGGCTGAGAAATCAACCAAATGAGGTGCTGCAGGTAAACTTCTAAGGTAGCCTTACCCGTTTAACACGCAGCCTTTGTTCACCTCAAAGCCTCGGCCAGTCTGCTGAGCAGGCCGGCCCACAGCAACTGGAAGCTGCCTGGTGCTGGATGTGGCACTGCTCAACTTGACAACTGCAGTTTGCATATGCTTGCTGCTCATTAAGCTGCTTTGTCTGTAGGAAATAGTTTGGGGTTGGATTTTTTTACCTTATTTTTTGCCTGTAGCCTACTCCTAGGCAATACTTGGAATATTTCTTACACTTCAGCCAAGAAGGTTCTCCAGCTAGGGACAGAAAAGGGCCTGGAAAAAGGTTGGGAGTCCTTCACTCTGTGCCTTCTTGCTAAAACTGACTAAAGTCAGGCAAAGACTGTAGTTGATTTTAAAAGGGTTTGGACCAGGTTTTATGTGCCTAAGGAAAGCCATCAAATAGAGTGGGGAGAGAGTAACCTAGAAAAATACATTCCTTGGGTTTAGGTTCTTTTGTAGACAAGAGGCACTGCAGAAACTAGCCACTAAAAATGGCAGGACTGAGGAAAACGCTTAGATGGAGAAGGAGGAGAGAAAAACTTTTTACATCTGAGCAAGTAGGGGAGGGGGCTATGGGGCCTTCGTGAGACAGAATGGTTTTGGGTAGCAGGGCTATGGCTCTTTTCTCATGTGGCTTGCTTGCATAGGGAAATGCCAATTTTATCAAGTTCACAGAGGCTATTCCAGCCCTTTTGTATAATCAAAGCTCCTGGTACTTGAGTTGTGTGGCATTTAAAGAGCTCTTCTGAAGCTTCAGAGTCCAATAAGGGTCACAACTGGTTTTGGAGTCTACTCTGTTACTAACATTCAATCTAAGCTGACAACTATATGTAATTCTGAAAAACAGTACATGTTCCTCTCTGTGTGTGAAAGGCTAGGAACTTTTAGAGGTTCTTGGTTTAGCTGCATGACATGGTATTTTGAGACTGTTCTTGTAAAAAGTACATACTTCATGATGACAGAAATAAAAATAATTAAAGCCTCCACAT